TTGAGGTAACTGCTCATTTTATCCTCCTTTGCTTGGAATACCTCATTTTTATTGACAATGAGCTAAGAGTCAATATGTATTACCAGTTTGAGCACTTTTAGTTCTTTGGCCATTTTCAAATGGGCTATTAATGCTTCATATTCAACTTTATTGTTGGAGGCCTTGAAATCAAAGGTCAATGCTTGGCAAAAATAGTGGTAATTTGGACTGATCAGTACTAATATACTTGTAGTGGACCGAACTCTAGTAGAGGATGTGTTGATTAATAGTTCCCAAGGACTGAACTGAATTCAACAATCTATTTTACCAAACGTTTTGAGGTGTATAGTTTTTTCAAATCTTGCCTCAAAGGATAGTTGGTCAAAATTTTTATGGGATATTTCAAGAAATAAGGCTGTAATTTCCTTGCAGACATAATCAAAATGTAAGCTAGCTTTTCCCTAGGAGAATAGCGTAATTCAACGTCATGAAGAGCTCTTTGTTGACATAGTAAATCGAATGTCGTATACCGTCTCCTCTCAAATGAGGACAATGGTTAAGTGGTGTTCATGCATAGCCAGGTGAAATGGCGATCTTTCATTTGCCTAGAGCATGGAGAGAAGAGATAGCTGAGCTAACTATGTCTTTAGCTCCTCAAAGGCTTTATGTATTCTAAGTCCATTCAAATTTCTTTTCTCCTAAAGTGTATAGAATAAGGTCTTGCACCGATCAGTAACCGTAGAAACAAACCTATTTAATGCCATAATTCTTCTTGTGAGGCTTTGTAGGTCGGCACCTTCATTTTGATAATAGCTCAATTTTGTTTGGATTGCCCTCTATTCCTCGATGATTAACCATATAACCTAAGAAATTGACAGAACTCACTCCAAATGCACACTTGAGGGGCTTGAGCTTCATTTTGTGTTTTCTAATGATCTCGAATATTTTTTACAAATGTTGGATACGATCCTTAGTGATGATGCTTTTTACTAGCATATCGTCAACATAAACCTCCGTAGTCTTGCCGATCTACTAAGTGAACATGGAGTTTATGAGTCTTCGGTATGTTGCCAGTGTTCTTAAGACCAAATGGAGATTTATTGTGGCCAAAATAGGTATCCATGAAACTGAGCAATTCATGCCCGACAATGGCATCAACCGTTTGATATATCCTTGGGAGTTGAAAGCTATCATTAGACAAGCTTTGTAAGTTGGTAAAGTCTATACATACCCTCCAATATCCATTACTTTTCTCAACAAGGATTACATTGGTGTCCCATTTGGGGTAGATTAACTCCTTAATAAATCCAATGCGATGTAAATTTTCCATTTCCTTGCGCAAAACTTCATATCTTTCAGCATTAAGCGGTCTCCGTCAATGTTGTTTAGGTCAGTCTAAAGGATCAATATTGAACTTATGACAAGTGATCTTTAGTTTGATTCTTTCCATATCTTTATAGCCACAAGTAAATATATCCAAATTATGACTAAGGAATTCTACAAGCTCAGATCTGAGTGGTTCTCGTAGCTCATGTCTAATCCGTAGTTCTTTTGGAGGTATATTTGAACTAACCTGAATCTTGTCCAATTCCTTTACAGGTTTTATCTATTTGTTACTAAATTTGATTTTGGGATATGGTAAATCGAGGTCAAGCTCTACCCGGTAAACCTTGTTTATTTCATGCTGAGTTGAAGTAAGCTGAGCTTTCTATTTGTAGGGTAGTGTACCATACGACATTTTTCTACAGCGTCCTTGTTTCCTTTGATCTCATCCACTCCATAAGGAGTTGAGAATTTAATTGATTAAGGTGGATAAAAAAATGGCTCTCAAGCCAAAGAGTAGGGTGATCTGATCTCAAACATCAATGGATCACCTATAAAGCCTATAGTCTTATCGGATAATGTTGGAGATATTTCTTTTGGGTTCCCATCCATTCTGAGGTCTTAGAGTATAGGAGGTTAACAGAACTCTCATAGTTTTGCCAAATGCAAGCATCTCTAGCTTGCCTTTGACATTCTCTTTTTGAACCATTTGCATATTACTTTCCTCCTATCAACATCTTGATCTCAGTCGTTGATTGAGGATTTCTCTCGATAGTCTTGGCAGGGTATACTATAGGTTAGCCTACTGATATGGCTAAGGTGGTTGAACATGATGCTCTTGAGATGCCTCTCCAGGCTTAGCTACAAATTTTTTTAGATCCTTTACCTATCCAAGGCTTCAACTTGTTTTTTCACATCTCGACAATCGCTTGTGTTGTGATATGCCAATCTATGGTACTGGCAATTCTATTTTGATTAGGTCCCACCATATTTCTTTTCATTGTGAGAGGTCTGTAAAAGACCCTTTTATCTCCTACATGTATGAAAACCCCTTTTAAAGATGTGTTCAAAGTGTGATACTATTGAAACCTTTTTGGGTATGGGCGAGGTCAATCTATTTATCTCTTTTCTTTTCTAAGTAAAAGCATCAACTTATTATCTACCTTTTTATCTTTACTAAACTGTAAATTTAAGTTTAGCCTTTCCTTTTTCTTGGTCTAAGGTCACCTTTTCTGCTCTAATGTGTCTTTTAGCATGATTGAGAAATTTATGATATGTCTTAGGTTCATCCTCATAAATGAAACACCAAAATCTGGTTTTGGGCCTTAGATTAGATATGACAACCGTAAGATCTACATCAGCACTATGTTTTCTATTTCTATAGACTATTTATTGAATCTATAGAGGTAACTCTTTAAGGATTCTTTAAGGATTCACTTCGCACTTGCTGAATGTTTACATGCATTCTTTAGGCATAGTTCTAGCCGTAGAACCCATATATTAAGCTAAAAAGGCAGTGGCTAGGTCCATATAGTTTATGAAAGATCTTTGGTGTAATTTACTGAACCACCTTTGGACTTTATCCCCCAATGTTAAAGGAAAGCTTGGCACATGATGGCATCACTAGCCCCTTACAACTTCATCTATGATGTGTATTTGTTCAAATGGCTAAAAAGATCTCCTTTTTCCTCGTACCCAGTGAGTTGTAGTATTTTCAACTTTTCAGGCATGGATTCCACAAGTATAACCTTCATAAAAGGAGAATAGCAGCTACTGAAGTACTCTTCAACAGTGCCTTTGTGCCTAGCTTCCAGGTCGATTACACATTTTCTTAGCAAGCTCATCACCTTTCAGGAGATCCTTTTGGATAGGGAGAATTCGTTCACCTCTAGGTGTTAATGAGCGTTGTGTACCCAACCTATCAAATACACTTCTTGCATTTTCAATAGTTTGTTCTATATGTGGAGGAGGACTTTTCACTTCATCAGTTTTACTTTTGGACGATTCTCCTCCTATTAAGTGTAAATTTCTTTTGATGGAAAGTCGTCCAACTCTTTCTCTTGCAAGAGACTCCACCTCGATTTTAGCTAATGGAGAGGTGGTAGACTACTTTCGTTCCATTCTATTGACAGCATTGGTTTAACACTCTATTGTTTTCTTCATAGTGGCGAGTTGAGGATTGTCATCCCTAATAGATTCATTTTTTCTTTAAAAATCATGTGGGACGCTAGTCTCGTGGTGGTTAATACGGGATTGGTTTCTGGAGGCCAAATTGTGACTCATGATGGTTCTTAGGAGAGACATGTAATTTTGGAAATTTTTATAGGAGACGTAAGTTTTTTCTTGCAAGATCCTTCTTCTAGTGCCAAACTATTGACGTTCAAAAATGACCCGGTCAATTTTTTCAACTTAATAGATGATTTGTAGGAGGTGAAATGCTAAAAAAGTAAAATAATAAAGATGATTTTTGTATTAATTTGACTGAATTAAAAGCATGTAAAGAGAGTACATTAAGCTTTGCCCCTTGGAGGAGACTATTAAGCATCTATTTATCAGCTTTGAGCTAGCAAGTCATTTGCCTTGCATCACATCATATACAGTATTGCCCTTGAAGTATGTGCCATAATTTTGTTTTTTGAGCATTTTGATTTGTAATTGAGGTCGGCCAAAGTAATCATGATGATGTAGGGATTGTAGGTAATCATCACTAATTGGTCATCGGCTAAATGGGTGGTGCTTGCAGCTCATTGTTGCCACCTATTTCTTCTGGAATACTTCTTTATTGGTGATAGGTCGGTGCTGCCACGTTAGTTCAGATCCCAACAAAATAGGAACGAGCATTAATAAGTGAATAGAATTTATGGATAATTTGAAATATATGAATAAAAAGTGGGTTGAATATTTAAAAACATTTTATAAACATGAGCCAAACATACTAAAAACAAAAATAACCTATACTAGGACAACGGAGAAGAAAGCGGTTTACTTGTGGGAATACCCTTTATTTTGGTTACTTTTGAAAAATCATTATAAACATGGTTAAACATAAATACTACAATTTCACCTCATTATCACCATAAGAAATACAATGAAAACAATCCATTGAAAAAAGGATTGAAACTGAAATCTTGCAAACTCCAAATCAAGCAAAATTAAAATCATAAGAGGAAATCTTGTACAAATTAAACCCAAACAAGGTCAAGAGCCACTTCAACTTCATTGTATTTAAAATTTGCTTCCCCAAATCTAAAAATCATCTCAAATCTGCAGGTTTGTACATTTCCAACTTATAATTCGATCAGTTCATATTTTATTTTATTATTGAGTAAAAAATTATATATTTCTTGATTCTTTGGTAAAAAGAAAGCTATTATAGGTTAATTTTTAGTGATAACTACTGATTTAATGCCCTTCTTTAAGTGTTGGAATCACGAATACAATTTCGCCTTGATTTTGACATTCCAGATTTTATTATTATTATTACTATTATTATTTTTTTTTTTTAATTATTATTTTTTTTTTTGGTTCTAGTACGTACGAAAGTTCATCTTTAGATTAATGGCTTTGAGTTTGTAAGCCAAACCCCATGTTCTGCGATGCTTCTGCTTCACAGAAGACAGAATATTCGGAAGGACACTAATGCAAACCAGAACGCACGTCAAGGATGGGTGTGGTTTCATTCAAACTAAATCAATTCCTAAAACAGTAAAAATGAGCAGAAATTCATAAAAACTTTGTAGTTAAAAACAAAAGTCATTAGTTTACAAAACTTCTCACACCAATTGGAGATTTATTTCGGTAGAATTACATAATTCCTCTGGAACTCAAACGAGAAGCTGAAAGCAATGAAAATAGATCAGTCAAAGAAAAGAGAGAGTCGGCAAATAAAGCCAGTTCAACAAGACACCGGACTACAGGATTGCGCCTGTAAAATACAGTTATATAAAACTTCTTAAGAAGACAAGACTTTCTGAACCTCGGTCGTCACCTCTTCTGGGGGCTTCTCTGCATGGAGATCTGCAACTACGCCCTTCTTGGAATAATAGTCTATGACCTGCAGGTTATGGGAGAATGAATGTGAATCCAAGAACATGACAAACCCCAACCAAAAAAGACTGCAATAGTTCAGGTTTGCGAAGAGCTAAAAGAGATTCTTGGAACTAAGATGTAGCCTTGAGATGATTTAGCAATTGTAACATTAAGAAACACTAAAAAAAATTTAATTTTGTAGACATATTATCAACAAAATCTTATTAACGTAGAAATTGAAAATTCAGCATTTGCTTCATCTTCATTTGTGCAATTCAATAGTTGGCTAATGATTCAGTCAGAAATTATGCACCCGCACATAAGCAAAAAACTAATAAAAGGTTCTGTAACAATTTATTAATTGAAGTTTATTTGATCTAAAATGTCCGCATAATAAAGAGTTAAATACTCACAGGTTCAGTTTGACGGTGGAATGCCTCCAGCCTCGACTTAAGAACCTCTGCAGTATCATCTTTCCGTTGGATTAGAGGCTCTCCCGATACCTATGACAATGAGTATAGATTTAGTGAATGCATAGACAATCCCTCTCTCTCTGGTTTCCATACAGTTTCCCATGTTAGTCCCCAGCTCAGAATTTTTTTATCAGCCATGAATGGCAAATAATTTTGGGAGTTCAAGAAGTCAAATACGAGATAACTTGGCCGAAAGACCCTGAGAAAACCAAAATAACTTACATCATCAGCACCAGGAACTTTGGGAGGTGCAAATTTTGTGTTGTAGGTCCTTCCACTTGAAGGATGGATCCAACGACCAGTAATCCTCTCCTCCAAAATGGCATCATCAATTGCGAAATTTAGCACCTTATCGATCTTAGTTCCCTGCTTCTGGAGCATCTCATCAAGCTAAAAAAGAATAATAAAAAATATGAATAAAGAAAATCTGAAACAAAATTGTATTTCTCTGCACAAAAGAGAGGAGAAATAATCATGCAATACTAATATAGCAGCATCTAACCTTTTCTGCTTGAACTTTTGTCCTTGGGAAACCATCAAGAATGAATCCCTTCTGACATGAAGGCTTCTTCATGGCTTCATCAATTATTCCAACAACCAAGTCATCAGAAACAAGTTCTCCCTAAAGAAAGAGAAAAGTATCTTTACAGAAGATTCAGCCAAAGCAGATCAAAGTGAGAAAGGGTAAGGAATAACAAAATATTTTCATTAGCGTACGTTTGGTACACATTACACAATTGGACACTATAATGGATAAAATTTTTAGCTTTTCTTTCTTTCTTAATATTGTCCAATGCTTTCCAGTCTATCTTGCTAAACATTTTATCAAAGTCAAAATTGTAGGAGTAAACTTTTACCTTGTCCATAGCTTCTTTAGCCTTGATTCCTAGAGGAGTCTTAGCTGTAACAGCAGCTCTCAACATATCACCAGTAGCCAAATGGCATAGACAGTACTCGTCCTTGATGATTGGGGATTGGGTACCTTTTCCGGAACCCGGTGGACCTGCCATGAATCCCATTCTTATTCTCATTCTCATTAACATTGTTGACAATAGTTCTGTTTTCTATATAACATGTAGTCCCAATTTTATATCTAAATTCTAAGCAAATCAGAATATCCCTAATGCATGCATGATAAGGTTTCAAGGCCAGTGCTGTACAATCAAAGTAATCATTTCAATATTCACAAAACCCATCATTAGTCATTGATGGGCTCTTGAAATTTGGGGTGAACAAAAACTAAGATATAAAAATCCTGGGAGACTATATTTAGAGCAACAAACTAACCTCATTCCCAATAACTTTGAGTTTGAAGATTATGAAATTTATAAGATAAAAAAACTTGCACCCAGAAATGCAACTTAATCTGAACCACTTGTGGATGAAGAAGGTATAAATTACAGCAGAAAGCAGTCCCTAGATTTGGGGAATGCCGTTTTATAAGGATAAGAACACGTGAAACATATCGTATGATGTGCCTTAAAATGGTACTAAAGTTCATGCCCATATTTTCAAATATTGAAAATATATGAATGCTGTTGAGAGTTCCTGGAGATTTCAGATTTCTCTATTTCCATCCCAAAGAAAAAACCCTAGTTTCGCTACTCAACTCGAATCATTGCAAACTAACCCTTCTATCCAAAACGGAAAATTGGCTACAGAAATTCCGTGCAGTTAGAAATTAGCAAAGGCACAAAGTCTTCCACAGAAAAGTCGTTATGATCCAGTCCTAAATTATTCTCTAATGTAGTGTTGACTAATTTTCCTTTTGTCACGTCATGGGTGATTGTATCTGTAAACTTACATTGGGAGAGAGATGAACTGCCATGTTATTATTGCGAATAATGTAAATCCTCTTGGGTATTTAGAAATATGTTTGACTACACAAATATATTTTTTATCACCTTCAAAAAAACAAAAAAAAAAATGTGCTCTTTAATAGCTCTGTCAACAAATTCACACACAAATTTGCTCTCACTGGCAGATTTCAATTCCTAATGACTAAAATTGAAATTTTAGTTTATCAACCAATAATGTGGTATTAAGTTTTCCAATGAACTATGCTTCAACCCACCCAGAGAGAGCGATCCCTGAATCTTGGAACTTCCATTGAAACTGGTAGGAATAGAATGCTTAATTGACAACAAACTCGGATTCCTTATTGTGCTATATATTCATAATACAACGAAAAGATCACATTTTTACTTCAGCGAATCTTGGAACTTCCATTGAAACTGGTAGGAATAGAATGCTTAATTGACAACAAACTCGGATTCCTTATTGTGCTATATATTCATAATACAATGAAAAGATCACATTTTACTTCAGGAAAAACAAAGTAAGCCTTATTCCCAAAGATTTCAAATCAACTACATTAGTCCTTTCTCACTACTCCATTTGATCCATAACTGAAAGATTAAATGCAATCCTCTGCACCGGTCTTACTAATTTGTCGGTTTTTTGTTTAACTATTTCTTTTGTATAAAGAACTATATAAGGATTCTTTTAGCCCGAGAGGCACTGAATTATAATGCACGATCTAAACAATAATAACAGATTATCCACCACTTTTTCAAGATCCCATTAGCAACCCACGAAGTAAAACTTCGTAAACATCAAAACTCGTGCATTATTCAAATAATCCATCCCAAAAATTCTAATTCAATATCCCCACCAAAAAAGAAAAAAACATAACATCAAAATATTGTAGTTACAAAGCACAAGTGCATACCAATGAGAATAAGGCGTTTGTCAGGCTTGGAATCGCACTTCATGCGGCGGAGGAGCTCCGTCATGATGTCTACTGATGGTATGTCCTCTAATGCCACCGCTGAACTCCCCATTTTATTTTATTTTTTCGTTTTTTTTTTTTTTTTTTTTTTTTTTTGGGGGGGGGGGGGGGGGGGGGGGGTTCTTATCTCTCTTTTGCTGTAAGTTCTAGTTCTGGGTTGCTTTGTAAACTCTCAGAAAAAGGTTAGGTACACCAACCCATAGATACAAACATTTAGTGTATGTAGATGTTGCGGAGATTTTGAAGATTGGGAAGGTATTTTAGGGAGGAGAAGAAAGAGGCCGCTGGCCGCTCCTAATCGTTTGACTTTAACTTGTACGCCTCGAGGGTCGTTCTAGTTTTAGTTTGTTTGACCATTATGCCCTTCTTTGATTTTTGTTTTAATTTTAGAAAGGGAAAATTGTTGTCAACGAGCCAAATCTTTCGTTTATTAACAGATTTGACCAAAACCTTTCATTTGTATCATCAGATATATCAAATCTTTAGAATATCATAGGTCCAATCCAAAATGACGGTTTCCATCTATTTGACCACCAAAACTGTTAATTGACCCCAGAAATGAAAATTGTAATAAATTTTCCCAAAGAAGTGAAAGGCAATCTTGGCATTACGCATTTTCCCTTCAAAATAAAAAAGTTAGGCCTTGTTTGATTGGGGAAAATTTTCATAGAACCATTTTCCAACTTTTTTGGTGTTTGATTTTCCATATTTTCCTCACACGTGCATTTTCCTTATTTTGGTGGAAAATCAATTCTCATCATTTTGGTAAGAATTGATTTTCCACCTTTTTTTTGTGTGGTTTTTTTTTTCTTTTTTGGGGCAATGAAAACAAATTCTAAGAACAATTATAAGAGAGAATATCTTAAATTGACAATTTTCATGTAAAACAAAACTAAACGAACACCAAAATATAAATGATTTTTGGATCTTTTTTTTTTTTTTTTGCAATGGAAATAAATTTTAGGAACAATTGTAGAAGTGGATATCCCTTAAATTGACAATTTTCATAAAAATAAAGTCAAACGAATACCAAATGATACTTTTACTTCAACATTTTCTAGGTGAAAAATTATGTCAATCAAACACTATTAATTGACATTTTCCAGTAAAACAATTTCTAGGCAATTCAATTTCTTGGAATTCGTTTTCTTTTCACCTAAATTCCATCTTTGTAATCAAACGAACCCGTAATTACTTCTTCATTCCATCATCCACTATGGAACCCTGCAAAATCTAAGAAGAAGGATAAAAAAAACTTTGAAGAAGAAGATCATCCATGAAATATTGTAGTCCATATTTGAGGCTCTCTTACCCAACCTATGTATGATAAGTGTGCTCCCTTTTTTACCATTTACGGTATGAAATGTTGTGATTACATGCCATGCATACCGATTATCTTCCCATATTGGAAAATGTCAAAGTGTTGAGTGATATGATAATTTGGAACTTAATATAGTGTGTAATCTCTTGATTTGTACATGTGCATTGCTTGAACTGAAAAGGTTTAGCGCTTAAATTTTTTTCATTGATTTGCTTCACGAAAAATTCAAAGTACTTCAACGTACGTCTTCCTCATGGTGGAATTTTGTTTGAAAAGATGAGAAATTTTGTGTATGGGCATAGAAAAATAAGTTATCTAGACTATGTCGACTCTGATTTCTTCAATAGATTTTTTCTAGACAATGTCATGAAGATGTTAGGATATTATGATAGAATCAGATATCTATACAAGATAAATATTAAGAGATTGAGTGAAGCATCATTTTGGTTGGTTAAAGATTCAGATTTCATTAATGTAATGAAGTTGCTTGGTGATAATAGGATGGCTAAATTGTATTGCTCACATGTAGTTGAGGTTTTGGAGTTACCATGAGATGAAACAGAAAATAAGGATGTTTATGTGGTTGACTGTGAGATTGGTGAGGAGTTGGTCAAGGTTCAAAACTTTAAAGTACATGAGAAACCAATAGATAAGAAATAACAATTCTATGCTATTGAGAAATGTGTAATGCCCATATCACCCCTTTATAGTGAACACACTCATCATTTTAATGCTATTTAATCTTGGTATTTTGTTTGATTCTTAGGGTTTTAGAATGATTTGATTTTGTGTTTTCATGTTGTTTTATAGGTTAGGTAAATTTATGTGAATGATGCAAAATTTGGAGAAAAGAATGATTTTTGCATGAATCAGGGAGAAGTATTGATTTGGTAAAACTTGATGATTGGAGGCTAAATTGAAATAAAGAAGTGAATAACAACGAAAATTGTAAAATCCAAAGTTTGAGAAATCAATTACAACTTTTCAATAGTTGATTTGAATCGCAAAATGATAAATGAAGAGTGCTAAGAGGCAACATGATGCTATTTGATGTCAAAAGCGAGTAAAATATGATCAAAATATTTATACAAATCAATTTTCTACCATTCAATTATGTTTCAATTTTTTAACCAGAGATAAAGACCCATTTTTGATAGAGTAAAAGTTTAAATTGGAAAATGCTGTCTGAAGTCAAGTTGTTGAATAGCCTCAATTGAATAACATAAAAAGATTTATGATAAACATATTGAATGTTGTGTAATGTAACTAAATCTGACTCGAGCACAGGCTAGCGTCTAGGTGCCACATCCAAGCGCCCAAGAGCCAATTTGACCAAATTCACAATGCCTAGGTACCTAGTCGCAACGCCTAAGTATCGCACTACGTATAATTAGGGTTTTTCAAGTTTAATTCATTTTTTGAAAGCCCAATTTCAATCCAACTCTTCCAGGACTTTAAGAAGGCATAAATATTAATCTAGAGGCTACTTTTTAAACACAATTCATTAGGACAAGAAGGAGAAAATAAAGTTTCAAAAGAGTTTTTATTCTTTTTCATCTTTATGTTATTAATCATGATTTGTAGAATTCTTAACAGGACAAGAAGGAGAAAATAAAGCTTCAAAAGAGTTTTTATTCTTCTTCATCTTTATGTTATTAATCATGATTTGTAGAATTCTTTCTTCTACCATGAACTAAACTCTTCAACATAGGGTTTGGTGTAACCAAAACTTGAGACTATGGTTTGATTTATCTAATTATTTCTATGAGATTTTTCAGTTCTGTTTATTTGTGTTATTGGTTTAATGCTTTCAAATAATTGGCCACTAATTGAATCATTTGATGCTAGTCAATTTTGACACTCGAGAGACGAAAATTTAGGCGCGATCCTAGAATAACACAATCTAGGAAATTATAGATTTCGAGAGAAAGTATAATTTCTTTGAAACATATTCCACTTAAGAACCACGAACTTAATAATTTTTAGATTTTAATTCGGAATAGAGATATTGGAATTGAAATATAGAAATGGTTTTTACTCGGCACTCGAGAGATGGAGTAAAATTACATTAGGGTTCTTGCTTATAAACTTTAAAATTTTGTTTAGAAATAATTATATAGCTGAGAATCATATAGTTAGGGGAAATCACAACTCTAGTCTTTCTCATCTTGATTATTATCTAACTTGTATTTATTTGTTGAATTTGTCACCATATTCATCATCTAATAGTTTAGAACCACTGATCTTATAATTCAATTTTCTCAATAAAACAAGAGCTATTCAACTATAGTAATTAGTATAAAATTGATATTCAATCCCCGTGAATTTGACATTTGATCTTATATTACAAAACTTGACACGTACACTTAAGATATAAACCACTTTATAAAAAATACGTAATACCCCTTCACTTATTTTGGGGAAATTATTAATTTTTTTTAATTTTTGCGGTCAACTAACTTTTTTGGAGGTGAAACAAGCGGAAACCGTCATTTTGGACCGGAGCTGTGATTTTTTTTAAAGGTTTGGTACCTCCTGTAGCACAAATGAAAGGTTTGGATCAAATCTGTTAATAAACGAAAGGTTTGATACCTTAGCTTCAATTTTTCCTTTTAGAATACTAAGACTTCTTTTGGTACAAAATCTGATTAAAATCTAGGTCAAGGTGAACAATAAATTTTATGAGATTCACAATTTTTTTAATCTTACATTCCATCAAATTTATCAAAATCTAAATAAAATTTTGATTTTAATCTAAATCAAACAAAACTAAATTGTATAATGCTTTCTAATATATTAAGGAGACATATTCAATTAAAACTTCTAAAAACTTTTTAGGATTTAAATAATTTAAGATATTTATTGTAAACTTTTGGAGACTCTCTAAAAGAAAATGGTATATTCAATAGAGAATTTTATATACTTTTCAGAAAAGTTTTATTCGAAATGTTGCTAACTTTTGAAAATTTTCATCAAAGCCTCCAAAATGCTAACTTTTAAATAAAAAGTAAAAAAATAAAATCTCAAAAAATTGTCTCTCATTGACTCGTAAATTTTGGGA